TGTGTGTGTGGCCAGCTCAGCCCACCGGAGGGCTCGGCTGGCTGGCATGTGGTGCTGGGGGATTGAACCGCGGTCCCTGTGCTTTGCTAAACTTGTTCTAAGTAGGTGCTTTAGACCACTGAGCCATCTCACCAGCCCCTCGGAGGTTATTTCTAATCTGAGTTCCTCTATACCTTTTTGCAGTTGTTTATTTCAGAGGCTATTGATTCAGAGATTTCAACTGTGTGATTCCCAGTTTCTTCTGTGCTAGTGTCCTCTGCACTTGTTCTGGGTGGGCTTGGGGTCTGAGATTGCCTTTTGGTCCTTCTCTTCATCATTTTGTATAGCAGTTTCCTCTGACCTTTGTTGTAGAGCTTTTGTGTGGTTATAACCTCAACACCTACTGATATTTGGGTACATATCTACGAAGTTTGTATTCATCCAGTTGTGCCTAGCTTGGGACTGTCTGCTGTGCTCTGCTCCTTCCTGCTGCTGCCCTTGGGAGTGATCCTGTTGTGCCCCTCTGGCAAGATGTTCTGCTCCTGGATTAGCTCTGTGCTTCTGTCCTCTACTCTCTCTGTAGGGTCTTCAGCTGCAGAGTTTCACCCCAGGCCTGTATGCCAGACCTTGTCTGGGTCTGGGGAGAACAAGGGGGCGCAGGGAAGAATGGAAGCTCTCCCACATACTTGCAGTTCATGGACTTGGGCTGGATCTGGGGGTTGTGGAGAGCACAGCAGAAGTTCTCACTCACTCCACAGGCTTGGGAGGGGTGGGCTCTGGATTGGTGGAGGGGTCCCGAGGGCAGGGTAGAGGGTCTCACTCACATCGCTCGGTGTGCTGGGGTTTGGTCCAGAGAGGTCCCACAGGTGCAGTGTAGCCAGAAGCTCTGCCATACTCTCGTAGGGCCTGGGCTTGGGCTGGATCTGAGGGTTCCCAAGAGTGCAGCAGAAGTTCTCACTCACTCAAAGGGCTAGGGGAGGGGGCTCCAGAGTGGTGGAGGGTTCCCAAGGGCACAACAGATGGTCTCAGTCATGCAGCATGCCTGGGTTTGTTCCGGGGAGGTCGTGCAAGTGCAGGGTAACTGGAAGCTGCCCACACACTCGCCAGGCCTTGGCTTAGTTTGGATCTATTTATTTATTGATTTTTGTATTTTTAGGGAAGAGTCTGCAGGTGTTCAGGGTCTCAATACTAGATTGGACTCATAGTCATCCGCCTGTTTACAGCCTCTCAAGAGCTGGGATTACAGGCTCGCGCCAGTATACCCAGTCTCATTTGCCCTCTTAGCTCCACCTCCACCCCCAGGGAGCAGGGTCAGGCCCAGGCATCGAACCCCCTGACCCTGTACCTGATTGTAGTTGCTTTAATCCACTGAGCTATTTGGCCAGCCCTTATGATTTTATTTTGGAAATGTATTTGGATAACATTGGAATCTCCAGAGAAAGGGAGATATACTATAACTGTCTTTATGCCTCAGTTATTGTTCTATACCACGCTTATCTGTGCATTGTCTGCTGTATGACTCAAAGACTGATGACATGAACTTGTCCCAGATGAAGTGGTTCATAGCCTGTGAGCAGAATTTGTTCAGCTCATGTATAAATTCTAGGCTGTCTGGGGTGCAATAGAGGCTCAAAAGAGCTCAGTAAGACAGTAACTCATAACTTCAATTAAAAACCTACAAACCTACAAATAGATACAGATGTATAGGAAAATGTTGTTGTTTGTTTACTTTTTATTATGTGGTGCTGTGCATTGAATCCAGTCTTCCCACTAAGTTACATCCTCATACATGCTTTTGAATCAGTGTCTTTGTAATTTGCCTAAGCTGGGCTTGAACTTGAGACTTTCATTCCTCAGCTTCCCAGAGTGCTGGGAAGAAGCATGATTTTCTAATATTCCTTTCTTTGGTGAACTTTCCTCTAGCAAGAGGATGCTGGTAGACATTTGCCTTAAGACTCTCTTACGTCACACTGAGGACAGTGCTGATGAATACGTAATTGATTGGGGTGCCAGGTGCCAGGAGTGGCAGGTGCCCTCCCTGCCATCCACCTTCACTATTCCTTATCCCATTTTCCAGCAAGTTTTAAGGAATAATAGTAAAAGATGCTAAGAAGTGTGAAAAAGAGGAGGAAACTGCTACAGTAACTGGACATATAGACTTCTTTTATCACAGTGATTTTCCACCTTGTTCTGAGGTGATGTGTGCTGAAATGTTGCCACTTCTACTGGAAAGTGAGGAAAGGCATTGTGGCTAATTGTGACAATGTCAGAAGAGCAAGAAATTGTCATTTTGTGAAGATTGACTTCTCAACTGATGCAAAAGTGTGAGAATACATGTGGATAACATCTGGCAGTGGAAAAGTACTTTGGGAAGTTTCCTCTTAAATGTTTAGAAGTGTGTCTCCTGAGCTGTACCCTCCTGGGTCTGTCCCTTTATGGCCGTGTGCTGTGCTGTGTGGGTAGTACAGGGCAAGAATAAGCTCAGCCATGCAGCTCTGCAAGGGTATCCGGAAAGAGTCTGGTTTCTTGGTGTGAGGTGGTATCACAAGAAAGAAAATCCCCAACCTGGATTTTCATGAATACAGGAGCCACTGCACTGGATTGAATCACTTTATTCTTTCTGTTAAAAGAGAGAATCATAGAAATATACCAGTAGAGCACAGCTCAGACAATTGTTCTCTGCCCATCGCAGTGCTGACCATCCTTTCCTTGGGGACTTTTGTCACCAAGCCATGTTCAAGCATACTGAACGAGGAGACCTGTGTGAGGCTGCTCATAACTGTACTCTCTGTGAATGCAGCTCTTGGTGCCTTTGGATAGGATGGAGGCAGAAAGGGAGAGAGGAGAGTGATCAAAATGAACAGAATCAAATTAACATTCTCATTTTGATTGGTAAGATGAAGTTTGGAGAAGGTGATTTCCCTCTTTTCTAATTATTTAGGGAAAACTATATTTGAAGAGGGAATCTTTCTGAATGGATGATGCTTTTCTGCTAGATTTGTGGTATCATGTTATTTATGGTATGAGGAATAAATTCTTTAGTTTCATCGATCCATTGACAGGTGATAACAACATTACCATGTATGATAGAAGATTCATACTCACACTCTGGCATATCAGTTCCTTCTAATAACTTACAAAACACTCCCTCTATTACACTTTCAGTCATCTTACATTCATCAGTTCCTTCCTTACATTTCACATTGGGTCTATAACAGGTCTGTTGCAACAACTCATATGACGTCCTAAGGAAGTAATGGTGGGTCACACACCGCAACTTATAGTGAACATTTCTATCTTTCATTAGCTCTATACAGTACTGTGGGTCATCCAAAGGTCTCCAGTTTTCCTCAGCAAGGACTATTTTTTCAATTTTTCTTTTGGAAGGTGGTCTTGTAGGCCCTGTCCCGTGGAGTTCATATAAATAATTTTCAAACTCCTCCTGTGTAAAATTTGGTAAAAGGTAGAAATTTGAGAATGTCCCTTGAAGCTGCATGGGTGGCAGCAGCAGCAGGAAGAGCAGAGGCACTCGGTGCTTGGTGAATGGAATTCTCATCCTCTGTAGGAACAAAAGAGATAAAGAGAAATGTTTTGTTGTGATAATAGGAGTCTTTCTGTTTTCTGTGCAAGGCCCATTTCTTTTTTATTTTTTTTTTAATTTTTAATTTTTAAATTTTTTTTTTGCAGTGCCAGGGACTGAACTCAGGGCCTTATGCTTGCCAAGTGAGTGCTTATTTTACTGAGCTATCTCCCCGGCCCGCAAGGCCCATTTCTACCACGCATTCCTGTTGTGTACTCTGAAGACTCTGGGCCACTTGAAAGTTATTACAATTGGTGGCTTGGAATTTAAATATTTCTCACATATTAACAATAAAATAGTATTATCAGGTATGTTAGTCCTGAAAACAGTGGATAAGGGAAGCAATGGTGGAAGGAGATCAAGAGAGAGTCAGAGACACAGAGACAGACAGACAGACAGACAGACAGACAGACAGACAGACACAGAGAGAGACAGAGACAGAGAGACAGAGAGAGACAGAGACAGAGAGAGACAGAGAGACTCTGTGGGAAGTAGAGCTATATGAGAGAAGGCAAAGGAAAGAGAAAAGGGAAGAGCACAGAGAGAAAAAGGAAAAAAGAATGATTAAAAAAAGAGTATATTACAAAGATAGAAAGAAGGAGACAGACTTTCTGGGAGGGATTGGAAGCAGCTCATGTGCTCCAGCCATTTTGAATAAATGCAGCTCAGCTGCTTCTGCAGTTGGTGGTCTGCAGAGCAAAGAGCCACAAGTGATTTGTCCTCCCCATCTAGACTGCCTGCTGAGATGAGGGAAATTCTCCAATTTACAAGTTGTTTTCTCATCTTGCTCACTTCTGGTCCCAGAGGGACATAGAAGCCAAGTGAATGCTGTGTGGAGCTTTTTTCATGCCTGCTTTTATCCCTCTTTCTTTATCTGGAAAGTGATTTACTGATTTTGCAGCCCCTCCTGCCTAGTGTCACCACATAGCATACTTCTGCCAATAAAGTGAGTCATCTACCTTCTGATTTTTCTTTATTTGTCTTAAATAGATTCATGACACTGTTATGTTGAGCTGTAGGGGACTCAGGTCAACAATTTCTGACATTGCCAGTCAAGTGGAAGACCCAATGCTATTGTGGGCTGTTGGACTCTTTTGGAATTTTTTTTTTTTTTTGCGGAACTGGGGATTGAACTCAGGCTGTTGCGCTTGCCAGGGAAGCACTTATTCCACTGAGCCATCTCCCCGGTCCCCTCTTTTGGAATATTTTGCTGAGTTTACACACCTATAAAATTCAAATAACAGATCTGAACAAAAAAAAAGGGGATACAGATGAATGTCCATTTTGTATCTGTGTATTCAAAGTGGTTAGGATAGATATATAGTTACATTCTCTTAATGAATAGAGTGATTTGTTCTAATGGTGTTTGTAAATAGGATATCATGTCCGCATCTTGTACAGCAATTAAGCACTAGGAAGAATGTATGTAATGTGTTAATTATTGAAACTGTCCTACCAATTTGATTTGAAACTGTCTCATTGCTATTTGTTTCTCAATAAAATTATGGGAAAAAACAAAATAGTTAGGATAGATATACAGCTATTTTCTCTTAATTCAATGAGAAGAAAGATTTGTACTGATTTTTTTGTGTACTGATATTATTTAGACAAGATATCATGTCTGCATCTTGTTCTCTGAATAACTAGGATGAAGACAACAATATGCAATGTATTAATTATTGCAATTGTTCTACTAACCTACTGTTTTGAAACTATTTCATTGCTATTTTCTTTTTCTCATTAAAGTGAATAAAAATAAAAAAATTTTAAAAAAATAAAATACGCTAAAAAAATAGATTCATGGTTTTTGTTATAATTAGGTTTATGCACCCCTAAGCTTTCTTCATCCTGTGTATCTACCTGCAGTTATAAGAGATTTCACAGTTATGACACTATGTTTTCCCTCATTGTATGTCCATGTGGGTTTAGTGCATGGCAGGCTACCTAGTATTTTCTCAGGACAGTATTTTACATGTTTCTTAGCAAGTCTCTTTGTTATACAAATCTATAATGCTAAGCAGATGACATGCATTTTAAAATAAAGAGAAAAAGAAGATATTTATAGTTTGGTACATATTAATGATATATATTATTATATTACCTTGTCATGATGAATGATGTTTAAAAAACTTTTCTCATAGGACCTGAGTAGTAGTAATATATACCCAGGAATTCTTCCCAAGTGTTGAACCAAACATCAAGGCAGAGTCTGTTCTCTAGTAGAAAGTGTTTTATTTCATTGATGACTTCTAGGCCTATTTTATTCCTATTCTGAATCTCACTGTTTCTCATTGATTCTCTAAGGAGTCCTTCCTCTCAGAGGAACATGATTGCTCACAGGGCCTTG